TGTACAACCAACTTAGTCAGATAAACATATTCATTGTACAACCAACTTAGTCAGATAAACATATTCATTGTACAACCAACTTAGTCAGATAAACATATTCATTGTACAACCAACTTAGTCAGATAAACATATTCAACTTAGAAGAAGCTTACTCAGATTTAATTTGATGACTTGATTTTAAGGTTAACCCTTTAGGTGCACATGTTGCTGTATAGTAATCATATAATATGGTTCTCAGTAGAAATGTGAATCAAGCAGACAGAATTAATAGGCAAAGCCTAATCTGTACAGATGATGGCCTCAGCTGCCGATTTGTATCCAACATGGTGTATAAAGTTGGTAAAAGAAACTTTATTACAAATGTAAAACATGTTTATGTCATCATCTGCAAACTGTTTTCTAAAAAGTGGGTTCCTCATCATCAATACTGCTATTCAAAACATTGGTAATATCTACATTTGAATATTAATTAATTCTATGACTAATTGGAGACAAAAAGTCATCAAAACACTTTGTTGTTTTCACATACGAAGAGGGAATTGAACACGTGTAAGCTGACGATGAACCTGAATTATCAGATGATGATTTTGAGTGTGATATGACTGTAAAAAAGTATTTATCTAAAGGGTTAATGTAGAAAGCATGAATTGATTAATACTGTGTATTTTTTTTATTTTAATGTGAGCTTAAGTTTCCATGTGGATTTGGAAATTTATTTTGTATATGTTTTTATATGATACATGTTTTAATACACAGGAGGTTGTAGTAGACATATGTTGTTGGTAGAAGAAATAAAAACAATGAGCTGAACTGTTATACAACAACAACAACAAAACTTAGTAAACAGACAAATTATTACAGTGTATCAAAATCTAGTTCAAGAAATAAAAAATGTAAACTCTTAAAGTGATGTCAATATTTTAAGTCTCTCTTAATGAGATAATATATCTACTGTGAGTAGTAGGAACAGTTATGTATCATTACAGAACTGACAGAATCCTTTGAGTAGTTTTGTCCTCTATTTCTTCTTCAGTGTTCGATTGCCTTCTGTAACTTCTTTAGTGTCAACTAAAGTAAAAATTATGGCTTTTTTATGAAATTGGAGAGTTCTTGTATGGAAAGAATATTTTACTCATAAAATTTGGCAAATACTGTCTTCTGGGAGCAATTTGTTAATATTGCAATCTTGGGTTTGGGACTGTTGTAGAACTGACCTTTTATAACTTCAAAAGTTGAACTTTGGCTTAAATAACATTAGATATCTACCATAATATGTAATGTTCTAGATCAAAAACCTTTTCAGATAGTACAATTATAAAAATAAGTATTTTCTACAGGCTTACTGCATGTTTTGGACAAAATTGAGATTAAAAGTTGTCTGTGTTTTACGTGATCTTTTTTACATATCAAGTTTATTTATTATAGTAACGTGAGGTAAAGAGTCAGTGTGTGTGTTTTACATATTTTTGTGTTTCTTTGGATTAAAAGTGAGATAAAATGTTGAATTTTTTTATGAGCTAAAGTGTACGTTTCTTAAATAGAGTCCGTTCTCCATTGTGAAGCATTGGCTTTCCAAAATACATAAATCACTTTCATTGCTGGCTTGTAAAATAGTTTTGAACTGCTGTTTGGATGGCTAAGTATCACTGCACTCCAGTGTGCATTTACTGATGCTAATGAGATACAGTTTTTAACCTCCGATGTTCCTGTTATGTCTGCTGAAGCCTCCTGATGGTGGAACCAGTGCTTGTGTGAAGACTGAAGGGGAAACACAATACTTAGTCTGTTTTGTGTTTTAAAGATACAATTACGTTATAGCTATGGGATATTTCTAAGAAGTATTTTCTCAATTTTAATTTTCTACATAGCATAACTGTTTACCCATAAGCTGTAAAACCAGCGTCACTTTCTTTTTTTACACATCAAAGTGACAGTAGAGAGATAATTCCTTATTTCCAAGGTGGTGTTGATAACCTTTTCACACCAAATTATTGGGAAAACATTTTTATAGTCATTCTGTAATTCATGGGCACAGTTAAAAATCTTAACTACGTTTTCTTTGTAAATCAAAGACACAAAGCTATCAAAATGAGTGTATAGTCCTGTAAGTATAGGCTTATGATAAGACAATATAATGATCTCACCAATCTTTTTCCACATACAGAGAACCAAAAAAAGCAAAGTTTTATTTTCTTCATTTTCAAAACTAAATTTAATATTATCATGTTGTTGGTTTAAATAGGTCTGAAAGTTCTTTACTCAAATATTGTAAAAGTCATCAGTGTATCATCTATAATAAAGGGGTTTAAATTCAGTTGGGCACTTCCAAAAACAGAGTAAAATATCTGTTAGATTAAGTGTCAAACTAGATCCCTCACTAATACTTAGCACTGTTTCTCACAATTAAAGTGTCTAGATAAGCAACACCTGGCAATGTTTCTCACAATTAAAGTGTCTAGATAAGCAACACCTGGCAATGTTTCTCACAATTAAAGTGTCTAGATAAGCAACACCTGGCAATGTTTCTCACAATTAAAGTGTCTAGATAAGCAACACCTGGCAATGTTTCTCATAATTAAAGTGTCTAGATAAGCAACACGTGGCAATGTTTCTCACAATTAAAGTGTCTAGATAAGCAACACGTGGCAATGTTTCTCACAATTAAAGTGTCTAGATAAGCAACACGTGGCAATGTTTCTCACAATTAAAGTGTCTAGATAAGCAACACCTGGCATTGTTTCTCACAATTAAAGTGTCTAGGTAAGCAACACCTGGCATTGTTTCTCACAATTAAAGTGTCTAGATAAGCAACACCTGGCATTGTTTCTCACAATTAAAGTGTCTAGATAAGCAAATACCTGGCATTGTTTCTCACAATTAAAGTGTCTAGATAAGCAACACCTGGCAATGTTTCTCATAATTAAAGTGTCTAGATAAGCAACACCTGGCAATGTTTCTCATAATTAAAGTGTCTAGATAAGCAACACCTGGCTATGTTTCTCACAAT